CGCATCGGCCTGGTCGGTCACTTGCGAATCCATCGCACAGAGACTGGCGAACCAGTGCCTGGAGCACCAACCTACACCCACCGCACTCGCCTCCGCTGCCCACAATGCCCTCGCACCTTCACTCATCGCATGGGTCTATTCGGCCACATACGCATCCACGAGAGCGGAATTGACCGCAGCCTTGACACACCCACCCCACCGAGCCCCACTCCCAATCCACCACCTTGTGCACCCACTAACCACTCCCCAGGCGACATCGACGCCACCGACTTTACCACCCCCCACTCCTCCCCTTCCTCCTCCTCTTCCTTCATCACTGCCACAACGACGGCCGCTTCGGCGTCTGTCGCCCACGACCTCACCACAGCAGAACCTGTCACAACAACAGGCACAACCCCTGCAACCTCCATCATCAGACGTGAGGGCCAGGACTACATCTGCCCTCACTGCGATCGCACCTTCACTTCACGCATCGGCCTGGTCGGTCACTTGCGAATCCATCGCACAGAGACTGGCGAACCAGTGCCTGGAGCACCAACCTACACTCACCGCACTCGCCTCCACTGCCCACACTGCCCTCGCACCTTCAGGCATCGCATGGGTCTATTCGGCCACATGCGCATCCACGAGAGCGGAATTGACCACAATTCCGATACAGCCACGACATCCAACATATCCACCACGCCCCGACCCATCCTCGCTCCACCGTCGCACGCGCCGACCACCACCACCAACACCACTGCTTCCTCTACAGCTGACACCGACACCGCCGACCTCTCATGCCCACAGTGTCCACGCACCTTCACCTCACGCATCGGCCTGGTCGGTCACTTGCGAATCCATCGCACAGAGACTGGCGAACCAGTGCCTGGAGCACCAACCTACACCCACCGCACTCGCCTCCACTGCCCACACTGCCCTCGCACCTTCACGCATCGCATGGGTCTATTCGGCCACATGCGCATCCACGACGACCTGCGGTAGACAACCGCCGGTCACACCACACATTCCCTCACCCCCTACCTCCTAACACCATCACCCCACCAGACATCAACCCTCACACACCTCATGCACTCAACTGCCGCCTCCCACGCAAGTGGGAAGTGTGCATCTCGACTCGGTCCCCATGCGGTTTCGGCTGCACGGGTGACTTGTGTCCAAGACTATCCCGACACGTCAAGCGTCGTGGATAGGAAGGTTGCTGATTGAGGCCTGCTCTCGGTTCACGCAGTTCGTCACGTTGTGTGTGTGTTGTGTGTAGTGGCGGACTGGTGGGCTGGGGACGGGCTGAAGCAGCACCTTCCACGGCCTTCTCACGCAAGTGGGAGACACGCCGTTGAACCCCCGTTGTGTGAAATCCTGGTGTTTGTGTGTATGGGGGGCCAGGTCGTGCTGTGGCGCGCGCGGGCATGGTCAGCCGACCATGTCAGCCACCGCGCCCATTTCCCACTCCAGTCTACTGACCGGCTCGGACAGTGGCTGGAGTGTGGGAATGGGAAGGGAGAGTGAGGTCGACGACTCAGCGCATTTTCCTCACTATAATCAATCTGACGCGCTTGAAGCTATCACGGTGCGCTAAAAGCCGTGGCTTGGAAGGTTGCCAACTGACGGGGTACCTTGGACCTCCTCCTTGACTGGAGGCGGTCTGAGAGTCAGGCTGCAATGGCTCCTTTTTAATGTGGCCTTTATGGCATTCCCACCACAGCGTGGGATCCGAGCCAGGCGTTGGCGGCACGCCCAGGTGCGGCTTCGGCCGTGCCAGCCTCCAAATCTCTGTTGTGTTGGTTGAAATCCTGGTTATTGTTGTGTGGACCAGGTGGTGTGGTGGAACGCCAAGGTGAGGATCCGTCCGAGCCATCCACCTGCGGCCTCCCTCGTCTCCGGTCTTCTTGACTCTGTCTTGACACCGGACCCAGGCGGGGGAGGAGGAGAGAGTGTAGGTAGATGCAGCGCAAGTCTACTGGCACTATAAACCCCTGCGCAAGTCACCGTCCCTGCTCCCACGGCTGCTGCAGCTGTGGGGCACACGGTGGACATCGTCGAAATCGACGGTCGAACTGTCGGTGGTGGTGGTGGTGGTGGTGGTGGTGGTGGTGGTGGTGGTGGTGGTGGTGGTGGTGGTGGTGGTGGTTTCCGAAACGTCAGTACGAATACAATTTGATTCATGAGCTCGCCTCCCCTTCTTCTTTGCCTTCTTCAGGAGATGACAAAAGTGGTATACAGTAGATGTGCTATCTCGTGATATGCTCCTGGAAATTCTGAAACGCATTCTCGACTCGAAAAGATTACTTAAGTAGGGTTGTAATAGTAATTGCCTGCCACGCAATCCCAAGATATTTCAGTCACGTCAGGATACCGGCTTTTGAATGAGCTTCCTTGCAGCTGCCTCTGTAAAAAGTGGCTACTTAAGCAACATGATTTTTTCTCATTGATTTTCGATGTCCTTAGAAATTCAAATATATTTTATAGAAAACATGCACCAACATATTCCTTCGTGCTTTTATTTGGTATCAGCTTAGGTGTTCTTCGAAGTTATACTTGAAGAAAGAGCATTTTCAGGTTTTTACGCGCTTCTAATTATGACACTTTTCAAGACCCTTAAATGTCCATTCATACAGCGTTGCAACGGCACGTTTATTACTGTCGCTTACAAAATGAGCAACATGATCCTCATTCATTGTGAGGTTTTATAACCCTACTAGTATGTCGAAATTTAGAACTTTCCTTATACGGAAGTATACAGCTTGTAGTTTGGAAACCCTGAATGTAAGTTTAACGGCAGGCAGCGTTCATATTTATTCGAAAATTTAAGGAGTTTTTTCAAACCGAACGATAGTCTTCCTTCACGTATAAAATTTGAAGAAGAAGTGATTTGTTACCAAAGTGGAGAGGAACGAATATTTTACGAACGTTTTCTATAAAACACATGCAAACTTCGAAGGACGTCGAAAATCGATGGGGAAAAGCGCACTACCGTAGACTCGAAGAAGCGAAAAGACTACGACCTTGTAGAGAGTACTGATGATGACCCTCTCTCCCACCGCACTCCCTAGGCCCTAATGCAATTTTACGCGGCAGAATACTTGAATATCATAGGGCAGTGGGGCGCACCCTTCTGTCCTGTGATTAGAGGTCGAGATCGGGTCTGTAATTCATTTAGGCCCCCTGCCCCCTAAAACGGGCCACGCCGTATATGCGAAGGGGTCAGATGGAAGTCTGGTAGGCTATATTGAGAATGCACGCCCACAATAAATACCAACATTGGGGTGTGGTGGCACGCCCATGTGCAGGCTCGTTCAGCGTCCGCTTCGATTCATGCTCTCTCCCCGCCCTTTCTTTGTTCTTATGGTATAAAGTTCTGGTAAGTGTTGATTGTGGACCAGAGGGTGTGGTGGTACGTCTAGACGCGCGTTTACGCCGTGCCAGCCACCTGCGCCCTCTCTCACCTCCGGTCTTCTTGAATGTGCCTTGGCACCGCGGCCGGATGGGGGAGGAGGAGGAGGAGGGGGCGCGGTAGAGGCTGCGCAGGTCTTCTACCACTATAAACTGGATCACGCGTAAGTCATTGTCCCTACTCTCACCCTGCTGTGAAGCACACGGTGGGCTTTGGCGGCAACGACGGGCGAACTGTCGTTTGACTCCTGTTGCTGTATCAAGCGCATTGTTGGATAACTGACTGACTCTGGGGGTCGGAATCCGACTTGTACGGTCTGAGATTGCGGGGCACCACTGGCAGATAACGGTAAATAAGTCAGACATGACCGCATCAGTGTCCCCGTCTTCGCCTAAGTCAAAGACTTTCCAAGAATTCCTTCTATGTGCTCAATGGAATAAGAAATTTATTGGCCTGACGTTTCGGATTCTCACTCGAACCCATCATCAGAAACAGTCGCAGATGGGGGTACTGGTGGCACAAGGAATGCACCATTTATAGCACGTGGCTGCCGTGGGACCGCATGCGTACTCTAATTAACAGCCTAACACGCAGAAGGTCCCCAGTTCGAAACTGGGCGGAGCCACCTGAGGTCCTGCTTTTGCCTCACCACATGCCAAAACCACAGCCTCGTGTAAATGCCGAGAACCCACGTGAGTGTCTGAATGCGCCTTTCGCCAGTACGTAATTCAACCATTTTCGGTCCAGGGAGACTTTTCTACTCCCTGCGCCGTACTGGATAGGACATTTCAGAGGCATGCATAAACTCTGCCAATGTATCACCGTTTGTGCAGGCAGACTGCTAATTCCACGTGGATGAGAGAGTTGGCTCCCGGATACGGATGTGTTTCCCCTGAAATATTACGATTTTAGGGTGACCTTGATATTCTACTATAAGTTGGATTGTTGTCATTTGCTCATTGCTGCGATTTGATTGGCTCTGGCGGCCCAGGGGCCTGGCTCGCTAACGCCGCAGATGACTGCTCACTTGATTATTGGCAAATCGATCGGACGACGCGCTTGCTTTCGCGCGAGCGCTCTGTCACGCCATTTCCCGCTCGCCCACGCTGCTGCGCGCACGCAGTTACTGCTCTCACGATGTCCATTGTTCGCCCTCAGGCGGGTCTCCACAGGCAAGTACTTGTCTTTTCAACTGCCGTGTTCGCCCTGGGCACTAGCAGGCGACATCGAAAGCGTCGACGCCATACCTCACCATCAAGGAGGCGCAAGAACAATACTCTGAAAGTCTGCCTACGCTGGATTATGGAAAATTTGATCCAGACGGCGAAGACCATAGAGGATATGAAGGTCAAACAGTCGGCGGGGACATGGGCATTGCTGCGACCCAGCACCCACTCCAGCACCGCACGGGCCTGGGTTCCAGCGCATGGGTACCTTGGAGGAGCTGGATGAATTTACAAACGCTATATTGGACCCAAAGTTCAGACAGCAAGCGGTAAATATGCCCAGTAATTAAACATTTTTTACTAGATTTCCTACCTCATGGCAAACGGGGGTGATACTATTTCCGCCTTCGCGGATAGGACGTTAAGTATCCCGTTTGATGACAGGATTACCCTAAACTGACGTTTTACGGCCGGCCCCAGGGGAAGAGGGCTTTCTTTGAATCCAATTTCATTATATGTCATGTAACAACATAGATGCTTTCGCGGTGTGGAACGATGCATGCAATTACGACCAACATCAGCTGGAGAAGGCCTTCCGAACTGCCTTGAGGAAGGCTTATGACAGATTGCACAAAAGAGGTTATAGGCAATCGACCTCACTATGTCCGGACGGTTAGTGATATCTTTCTAACACTTGATTCATGTTTTTGTACTACTATTCTGCTGCCATACACTGTTTCAATTGGCAATTAATGTCGTCTTCTTTGATTTTAGACAACAACTATGACGGGAACATAGAAGACAGAAAACATTCATCCCCGGGGCCGGCCGTTCCCTCAACACAGCCCTAAATTGAGTCAATTGTACATATTACATTTATTCCCCTATTTCTTGTACAGCTTCTTCGCCGTTCGTATTTCGCCTTTTTGGAGATTAATACTTCTAATATCTCTTTTAAATAAAAAGCCATTTTAAAAAAACCAGACTTCCTTATGTCCTGCTTAAGGGAAACCAAAATCGGGGTGATGGAGGGGGACAAACGGATGAGGTTGGGGTAGGGGTTATTTTTAAATAAAGGGGTGGGTGTTCCGTCCACTTAAGCGTCGTCCGGCGGAGCCTCGTAGCTCAGGTGGCTAGAGCTTTGTCTGTACTAAAGCCTTCCCCTTACTGCGTGGATTACGATCCCACCGAGGCGCCGAGTTTTTCACAGTTGGGTCAATACGAACTATTCAAAATCTGTCAAAATACCTATGAATGTAGATTTAGAAGATGAAGATGCGACCACTGGAACAAGAAATTTATTGGCCTGACCTTTCGGATTCTAACTCGATTCCATCATGAGAGACAGTCGCAGATAAAGGTGATGGTGGCACAGGGAGTGCAGTATTTATAGCACGTGGTTGCCGTGCGACCGTATGCGCACT